ATCTGAACCCAAACAAATAACAGAGAAATTTTCACAACAAAGGGAACCTAACATCTCCAATTACCCATTTAAAAGGACAAAAAGATCACAACTGAGCCCCATTAATCAGTGGTCCCCAGTGTTGTGACCTTGAGGTCCTGGGTGAAACCACCCCAAGTCAAGGGCTGGCTTATACCTAACACAGGAACAGACCACAACTATGCCTTCTGCATGCTTCCATAATCTGGGAGAAACTCTAGTCATCAAAGTCTGCATTTTTCCCTGTCTATGAACTTGTTCAAGTTAGAGGTTGGGAGACTCAGACCTTTCTCTACTTTGATAAGGAGCATCAAATAAATTAAAGTTATGTGCAATAAAATTAAGTTACATGATACATAAAGTAATTCTGAGTACCAATCATGCATACATCCTGGGTACAAAATTACCAATTTAGAGTTAGACTTTAGACAAAGTAATCTTCAATTATTTATATCGTCAATAAAACAATCACACTGTCTGTTACAAGGAGCTTGAATATTCAAACACTTTCAATTCAAGAAGCTGGAAGACAAACAAAAACTTCTCCCATTTCCTCTAGTAACAGGCAAGATAGCCATAGCCTGGTATCCATCCGTTTCCAGGAGTACACTGGTGTGGTGGTCGACTATTGGGTAACTGTTAGGGAGCAGACACAAGCTGGAAAGGGAAGGATACCAGGCTAAGATAACCAGACTATGGCACAGGAAGTATCCTAACCAGGGCTGGAAGCAAAGATAAACAAGCCAGCACAGATTAAAAGACAGATACAAAGGAGGTGATGACAGCATCCTTGCAGAACCAGGAGTCCTCAAGAACTTTTCAGACCTTATGCAACAAGTACCAAGTCACTAGCTGAATGCTATTTGCAGTTCCATCTTTGAAGTCAGTCATCATGTCAAAGTACAATGTATAACTAGATAGCAAATGGAATGAGAAGAAAAGGAGAGTTGCAACATCACTACACCTATTGTGCAACCTGACCTGACCAAGTAGGTGTTTGTACTTCCCAAGACTAATGTACTGAAATGTTACCCAGGTGGCAGTTTACAAGTTGTGCCACAAAGAAGAGAAAGAAAGGCTGTATGATAATGTTAACATGCACCAGATGTGTCTGTATGGATACCATGGACTAAACTGTAAATATTCCAGGATTATTGCAAGATGGCCACCAAGACAAGTGATTCCTGATAACCCTAATGTCTTGGGATACTGCAAAATCAGGAAAGGATAGGGTTTAGCAAGTCTGGAATTTTTGTGTGAAACTGGGCAACCATATGCCTTGGTGATGTGTACTAGAGTACTACTAGTATTTTAGATGTTATAATAAGTTGTATAGTCATTACCAACGAGTAAAGTTAGACTTTAATTCAATGTGTGAGACGTTTCAGAAGGAAGGGTCGAAGTTCAATTTTAATTTCATCTGAAGGTCATCCAGCTGGCCCGCTTCCTCTCACCTCAGGGCTCCTTGAGGAACCCTGAGTCTCCTGAGAAATACTGAAGGGCAGCTCAGAGTCAGGTCATTGGGCAGTATCCAAGTCCCAGTCTGCCTGTAAGGACTGGGGTTGCAGGCACCAGAAAGGTCACAAGTCATCTGGTTTGTTAAACACAAGACGAAAACAGGAGGTTAGGTACAGAAAAAGGAAATTACACCTATATTGGCAACTCTGAAGTGCTCCACAAACTAATCAGGGGGGGTATGTGTTTAAGTTGAGGAGAGATAAGTCAACATTTGGAGACAGAGGGCCAAATTATTGCTTTTAGTTTAATGGATGTGTAGCCTAGGTCTC